AAAAAAAAAAAAAAAAAAAAAAAAAAAAAAAAAAAAGAGAGCTCCTGGAAATTTGTCTAGAGATTTGATGTTGAGCTCACTGTAGTATTTAAAGAACAAAAACAACAAAAAGTAATTCAACATAGTATACATCCCTAAAAATACTGAAACAGAAATGTCCCTGTATGAACCCTGACAGGTGCCAGACAGCATGTTAGATATGCTGGGATGGCATATTACTGTATGTCTTACAGAGTCACCCACCAAATAACCCTGCTATTTGGTTAAGGCCTTTGCTGTGAGAAGGGTTTATTGTATAGCTACGCCTCCAGTACATACATGGGGGTTTTTTGTTAGACTAAGCTTGTTTTTATTGGCATGATCACTCTCTTCTCCCTGAAACAAATAAATTTTAACAGCAAAAGGAATTCTGGGGGAAGGATTTATGGTAGCGCTCTTGGTGATTCCATCATGACTTCAGATGTGGGTCTTTTCCACACACAACATGTCTTCACATAATCACCAAGGTGGGAAGGGACCTCTAGGGATTGTCTTGTCCAACCTCCCATGCTCCAGTCAGGGTCACCTACAGCAGGTCACTCAGGGCTGTGTCCAGTCAGGTTTTGAATATCTACAGGGATGGAGACTCCACAACCTCTTTGGGCAACTTGTACCAGTGTTTGTCCATCTTCATATTTTTCTTATGTTTTTCCTGAATTTTGGTTTGTGCCCACGGCCTCTTGTCCTGTCACTGGGCACCACTAGGAAGAGTCTGGCTCCTTTTTCTTTTCTCCCCCAGTAAGGTACTTATACACACTGTTAGGATCCTCCTGAGTCTTTTCTTGTCCAGACCAAATAGTCCCAGCTCTCAGTCTCTCCTCATATGACAGTTGTCCCAGTCCCTTAATCATCTCCATGGCCGTTTGCCACACTTCCTCCAGTATGTTCATGTCTGTCTTGTAATGGTGAGCCCAAAACTGGGCACAGCACCCAACATGGGTCTCACCTGTGCTGAGCAGAGGGGAAGGATCACTAACCTTTACCTACTGGAAACACTGCACAATGCTCAGGAGGCCACTGACCTTTGCTGCAAGGACACATTGCCGGCTCATGGTCTACTTGTCCCACCAGGATCTTAGGATCTCCTCTGCAAACCTGCTTTCCATCTGGGTGGCTCCCAGCATGTACCAGTGTCTGGGATTGTTCCTCCCAAGGTGTAGAACTCTGCTTTTCCCTTTGTTGAGCCTCATGAGGTTCCTGTGATCCCACTTCTCCAACTTCTTGAGGTACCTCTGGATGGCAGCACAGCTATCTAGTATATAAACAACTCCTCCCAAATCTGTATCATCTTCAAACTTACTGAGAGTTCATCACTCTGTCCCAGCATTCAGGTTGTTAAGGTGTTAAGCTGCACTGGTCGTGATTATCAACCCCTGGAACAGTTAGTGACTCACCTCTGGCTGGACTTTGTGTCTCTGATCTCAATACTCTGAGACCAGCAGTCCAGCCAGCTTTTAGTCCAACTCACTGTCCATTTATCTAGCCTGCACTTCATCAGATTGTCAGTGACGATATTATAGGAGATGGTGTTAAAAGCCTTACTAAAGATAAAATAAATATCACCCACTCTCTCATCAGCCACCAAGCCAGTCATTTCACTGCAGAAGTCTATCAGTTGATTAAGCCTAAATTCCCGTGTAAATCCACACTGACTATTGGCAGTCATTGTTCATCCATGTAAGCCTCCTGCCACATTTACTGGATTTCCTGCCCATTGGGATGGGCCACTCTTAAGCTTGGATGAAGTGATTCTTGAAAAATAACCAAGTCTCCTGGACCCCTCTTCTCTTCAGTGCCATATGCCATGGTAGTCTTCCAAGAAGATACCTGAACAAGTCAACCTGCTCTTCAGGGTGGACATAATACTTTTTTCCTTGCTTCCTTGGGATCCTGAATTCCACCATTTGCTGGTTGCAGCAGCCAAAGCTTTCCCTGCCTGTCACATTCCTGACAAGTTCTTGCATTGCCTCTGCCCTGCTGTGTTGTTCCTCCAGTGGGTATCAGGGTGGTTAACTGCCCCAAGAAGACCAGGGCCTGCAAACATGAGACTTCTTCCTGTTGTCCGAAAAATACCTCTTCTACTTCTTCTTGATTATGTGGTCTTGTCCACTTTGGTCTGCCTGCTATCCTGACCCATAATCTATCAGCTGGCTCAAGACCCATTGCCCAGCAGAGCTCCATTCACTCCCATTGCTCTCTCACACAGAGTGCAATTCCTTCTCCTGCTACCAGGGTACTGATTTATGCTGTCATTGCAGATCTGTAAGTAGAGCAGGAGCCACAAGTCACAGCTTTCATCATCATGGGAGTCTCCATTTCCCAACTCAACAAATGTAGGCTGCCTAGTTCTTCTCTAGTACAGACCAGGTTCCTGTACCCACAGAGTGTCAGAGAAGATCCAATCCACTTTTTTTCATCATATCTGATGCTGCAAAGTCTGCTGTCCTCCTCCCATAGCTCCCTATCTTGACAATTGAAATCCTTCACATCTTCTGCAGAAAAGAACCCTCCCAGACCCCATGAGAAGCCTCAGGCATCCCTACAGCCCCAAAGCTCCCTCAGGAGCTCAGTCTGGGTCAATCCTGACATGCCTGGGATGGTTGCCCCTGCAGGCACTGGGGACCATGCCCAGTGGCATCCCCCTTGCTCTGTACAAAAACACAGCCTTCAGCAAAGTTTTTAGCCCTCTTCTGTGCACATTCATGCATGATGCTGAACCTGTTAGTGGTCCAGCACCTCCAGAGGGTATCCCAAGACCTGCAACAAAAGCACCTAACCTTACCTAACCAAGAGTCAGCTCAGACAAAAGCTCCAAGCTGGTCAAGGACAGCTGGCAGAGATCCTTAAGAGCTGATGGAGGTTGCTAGAAGTCACAGCGTCCTGCAACAGTCCTCTCCCAGCAGTAGTAAGGCACCCTGACATTTCTTGAAGTGGTCCCAAGAGTCCTCCAGTGATTTCAGAGGTTGTTCCCAGAAGGTCTAGAAGATCCCAAAGCAGAGGCTGGAAACTTCTCTGCAAACTGCTGCATCTGGTGGCTGACTGTTAGCTGCACTCTCAAAAATTTAAAGGAGAGCTCCTGGAAAAGACAGATTTCTTTGATGCCGCTGTTTTTCATGCAGAGATCCACATTGATTTCAGAATCAAAGATACAATGAAACCTGATATGATTAAATAATCATACATAACAAATTCACAGCAGCCCCAATATATCACATTTAAGGGAATTTTTGACCTTATCACCTTAGACAAAAGCTTAAGAAATGAAGCAATAACACAGGAAAGGAGAAGTGTGTGTGTTAAACTGGTTATCACAAAATCAGATGTCAAAAGCTCCTACTGTATAGAGTTTCTCCCTTCATTTTCTTTAGGGGTAATTCTGTTTCAGGGAGCTTGCCCTCCCCGCCAGTTTTTCCCGCCTGGTGTAGCAGGATTGCCTCCATTCTGCCCACACACCAGTGTCTCTGAGTCCGGTTATATATCGAACCACTGAAGTGACCTGGGTTAAAAGGAATCTTGTGGGATGGGGCTATTTTTAACCCAAATCATTTCATTGATTGAGTGTATAATTATCTCAGCACAGCCGAGCTGCTCTGGGAGGCACAAACCCTAGCAAAGCAGGGTGGGGAGGAGGGCTTTGTTAGTGAAGAAAACTTGCCTTGAAACTACTACCTCAAATTATTCTTTTTATAAGAAAACTCCTAGTTCTGTTTTACCTGTACAGTGCCCAGTTCAATACCCACCCTGAACTGACAGCAGAGTCCTGTGGATGAAACACAGAGAAGCGAAGGAGAAAGTGCATCTATCCTTTTCTCATGCTGCCCTGGTAGGGTCTTCCCTGTTCATTCACCCTGTGAACGCTGAGCACCTTTTCATGGTGCTTGCCATATCTACCTTGGGTAAAGAATGATTATTATATGATCACATTAACTATACTCACTGCTAACAAAGCCCTTGTTGCTTTATATATATATATA